CACAAGAACATGGAGACAGACCAGATGTCCAACCACAATCAAAAGGACTGAGAAATTATGGTACATTCACACAATGGAATACTACAGAGAGAGCATTATGCTAAGTAAACTAACTCAGTTCCATAAGGACACATACTGTATAAAACCATTACTGTAGATTAAGTATGAGGATCCAAGGTGGAGAAAGGGGGGAAGCAGACAGGTGAGGATGGGCGGGAGGGGTGTTAATCATAGGGTAGGTAGTACAATATGATGGGGTTGTGTGAAGGAAATGGGAAAGATCCAGTGTGAAATACAATGTATTTGAACTTAGACCAGTATAAAATGTTTAAAAGTCTGGGGTGGGAGGGTGCGGAGAAAAGCACAACAATGAATGAATGGAATTAAAAAAAAATTTTTTTAAAAGTCTGCCTTACCCTAATTTTGCCGTCAAACCCCTCTCGAATCCCTTAACGTCAGCAAATAAAATTCCAGTAACTGAGACTTAATCCAGCCTAGTCCAGGTTGCAAACTAATATTCTGAGATGCTGGCCCCAGCTCACCCCAGTCTGTCTGCTTACTAGGATGGAGAGCAGGGAGGGCAGGGCGTGCAAGTAAGGTTAACCACATGGGTTAGTTAGTCCCGTTAGGCTTGAGGACGACAGAGGGGACACCCAGCTGTTTGGAAGCCCCACACAACTTCACTGCAGCCCTGTGGTTATTCACAGCAGGATGGCGTAGCTTACTCTTTGGTCACACAGCAGCCCTCACTCATCTCTCAGGTGGTTCATCTAGTTCCATCAGGCAGCCACTCAGGGACAGTCCTGTATCTTCCATCCATCCTCTGCCCCTCTTCATTCCTCCCAGAAATTCCAGGCATGGGGTGGGGCCTTTCTGGCCTGGGCAGCTCCTCCTTCATTCTCATCAGAAGGCCGGTGAGAGCCCATCATACGCTCTTTGGGGGCATTGAAGACAGGTGGTGCTGAGTCCCCAGGTAACAGCCCTGTGTTCCCAGACTTGGGGATTTGCACTCAGCTGCTAGGAGTTATTCCAGCAGCGCACACACACCTTGAAGAAATCTCTATAGGAGATTTCTATAGGAGCTTATGATGAAGCTCCCTGCCCCACTTCTAACACAACACACACACCTTGGGCTCTTAAACGAACTGTAGAGGGTGAGGAGGGTGCCCCAAAGTGGGTCTTTTATTTCATCTGAATGTAAACACCAAGCTTCTGTCCTTTTACATGCCCTAATCTTTTCATTCTTCCTGCCTATAACGATTGAATAGTGTCCCTCCAAAAGAAGTTGTAAACCCTTACTCCTCCACCTATGGTTTTAATCCCATTTGGGATTGGATGTGTTAATCTGACAGTAGTAATGTAGGGTGTTTTACGTCAATCTCTTGAGACAGTAAAAAGTAAATGAGCTAGTGAGCTAGAAGAGATGGGAAGCAAAAAGGACCTTCAAGAGCTGGTGTTCTTAATCCCTACTTCTATTCCTAAATGCTAAAAAATTTATTAAAGCCACACACTTAGGAGATTTGTTACAACAGTGCTACATTACCAAGACATCATTTTCCATTTTCTACTCTTCTCCATTCTGAAGTTTACATATATATAATTTTTAAAGTTATACTTGTTAATAATGTATATACCTTGAGTTACACATATAATTCTTATTCCTCTGCAAGTTTACTGTCAATTTTTAAATCTCATTAATACATTTAAATCTGGTTCAATCCTCCATTAAATATTTGAGTAACTCCCATGCTGGAGCTACCAATATTAAAGTTTAAATACAGTTTGCATTAAATAATTAGCATATGACACACTTTAAATGAAACTATTCACAGGTAGCTCTGGTGGCCTAGTGGCAAGAAGCTGCACTGCAATCCCAGAGGTGTGAGCAGTTCAAATCCACCAGATGCTCTGCTGGAGGAAGGACAATCTCCTCCTGTACCAGTCAGATCTGATTTGATGGTACACACACAAAATAAATAAAAAATTTAAAAAAATAAAAAACTACTCACTTACTGACTGGTATTTCTACAAATGCCTGTTTTACTTTAATAAAGATGATGCCCACATTTTTATTATTTCAAATATTCAAATAGTTTCTTTCCCATGCGTGTTTATTTGGGCTCATGGGGAGAATTTCTAGTCTGCAATACAGATCTACAAGTGGAATTGCTGGGTCATGAGCTTTGTTTACCTTCAGTTTTAATGGACATCACCAACCTATTTTCCAAAATTATTGATTTACCAACAGCATACGAGTTCTCATTTCCCTCCTGCTAACTATTTTCATTCAAGACCCCAAGGAGATGGACTGACACAAAACATAAATACCTGGACTGATGGTGCAGAGTTCACTGAATCTAAGGAAGTGTTTCAGAAACTATCAGATGCAAGTACTTCAGGAATTCTAAATAAGAACATCTCACATGCACTGTAGCAGACCTCTTCTATCTTGTGAGGACCTGGACTTAAGGCAGCTGTCTAGACTATCAATGCCAAAATAAAGCAATGCCCTGGCAAAGGACTGTGACTGGTCCAATATACCTACTCCAAGTATCACTGTGCCTGGGGAGATATTCTGACTCATCTTCCTGTGGTCAGTGATCTAAGGATGCTTACAAGAGGAAGGACGAGAGAACACTAGGCCAGCAGACAGACGCTACCATTACACCTGTAAGTGTGCTGTTATTATGTAAAGCACTTGGCACTAGGTTGTTGAGATAGTAAGCTTATAACAAATGGTAGCAATATTAACTCACCTAGCAGTGAAGTTTTAGAAGTTAATCCATCGTCTTAAGGCACCATTGCTTAGCCAAGTTCTGAAAATGGAAAAAGACAAACTGACTCCCATTCAACTAAAAAGGCTATTCATTCAGACTACAATGATGTTGCAAGGACACATTTCATGTGGTCCTAGAAAGCTGGGTGTTTGTTAAGTGCAAGGTTCATGGTTCTGGGAATGGGGAAGTCCTCTGCTCAATGAGCCACATATACATTCTGGGCTCCTTTCCTGCCAATGGACGTGCTGAGGTTTAGATGGTTGGATCTAGGTTAAGTTCTATACACAAACCAGCAGTCCTCTCAGGATCTTCTGGAACTAAGTCTTCATAAGCTTCCCTAACAGTGGGACAGCAGTCAATCAGTTACATTCATGCTACTTCTACTAGAAGTCCACTATGGTAATTGGGGGGAAAACCCCCAACAACCAATCAACCCAACCCAACAAAACTGCAGGAAAATGGTTCCTAATTATATATCCTTTTCAATTAGTGGAGGATGGTCGCAGTAGAATACCCATGGTCAAATTACATTATCAGATAACAAAAAATATGAACTTGGCATCATGTGGACACTAACTGAAGGACATCATAAACATGGTTTTCTGAATGGTTAACATCTTGGAAGGGCAAATTCGACAAGCTTCAAGGTAGCAGACTCACTGGGCTAGATATATTTCAGCTCCCATGCACATCTTCTCTGCCAAGTATGACAAAGAATGTTTGAGATCTGATTCATATTATCCAAGATGAAAGAAGTGTCAAGGATTTGCTTGTGTGGAACGGAAAGAAGCCAGCAGAAACGGTTCACATCAATACCACCCAGGACATCCCTCCTCACAATTTATCATCAGCATCAGGAAAATGTGTTTATTTCAAGGAGAGGAACGCTACAGTAAAAGAAATACATGTCAAAAAAATGAGGAAATAAAAAAGATCCATGTCTATAGTGGCTTATAAATCAGTCTGCTCTGTTCATGTCAATGCAGCATCAAAGGTCCTGGATATCCCTTTGGGATCACTAATGGGATATGTATGGGGTCATTACCGATTAGAGTGGAACAGTAAAGTATAGCACATCCTTTCCTGATGAAAAAGCTTTTGTTAAAATTTTTAAAAAATATTTTAACAAATTGATTTTTATTAGGATGAAATACTTCCTTTGCACAGACTGAACCAATGTCCTTTATCACTCCAACTTAGTCAAAGATAACATTTATGGCCGTGAGTTGGTACTTAATTAATTTCCATAATAAAATATAGGAAAAATTTCTCTCCTCTTTTGTTTTCCCAATGATCTAACACCAAAAGTTTAGGCAGTACTTTTTCACAGGAGTAATGAAAAACACAAAGAGTACACAAGTTCATAAATAAACCGACATTTTTTATGAAATTGACAAAGTATACATAATTATGATAGCTGGAACAAATAAAAGGAGCCACCAGTAGTTGAACCATCTATAATCTCTGAAACATCTGGGTTTAGAAGCTTCCAGCAAGGTTCCTTAAATAATTTGCATAAATTTTGCTGCCTTTACTCATTAAATGTGCATCTGATTTATTTTAAAATTTCTTTTAGAGTCTTTAGAATGTCAAAACCACCTTACCAATGGCAAAGCCATGGGGGTCAAAGGTCCAGGAAAGCTCCCTTTTCCACCATGCTTTGCTATTAAAAGCTGTATCACACTGTGCAAATCACTTCGTATCTTTGGTTTTCAGTTTCTTCATCTGTACAAGAAAGTGGATGCACTAGTTGATCCTTAGATGGAGAACTCCTGAAGGTGAAATTGGTTCCCAAGTTAAACTCTGTCAAAGATCTGCTGCTGGATGCAGCTGTCAGACGGTTTGTGAGTGAGTTTTGGTCATTGCTGCAGGGAATTGTATTTTTTTTTTAAAGGCTGTAAACAGTGAGGGTTACAAGTCAAGTTATCAAGAGCTTGGTACCTCCGGCATAAATATATTCAAAAGTTTTAAGATGCCCATTATATAAGCCTATTAACTCCAACTGGTTGTATATTTTTTTTCCACAAAAGTCTGTAAATCAGATCTGAGAAAGTGGCTTTTATTAAAAATCAAACAAACATTGTCTACTGGCACAGAATTTTCTTCACTAACAACATAGAAATATACACATAATTACATTCTCACGTTTTTCTTTTCAGTAAGAATGCTATCATACTTATAAGGGTAATATTTTAGCTAAAGGTTTCTAAACATTGCTTAATTTCAAATTTCTTGGAGTTTATTTCTAGCATGAATTCTCTGGTGTTTAGTAAGAGCTGAGCTTCGACTGAAGTTTTTCCCACATTCAGTACATTCATAGGGCTTTTCACCAGTATGAATTCTCTGATGGTCATGCAGGTTGGTTTTCTTTCGGAAAGCTCGCCCACATTCATTACATTCATAGGGTTTTTCTCCAGTATGAGTTCTTTCATGCTGAATAAGGGATGAACTTTGACTAAAGGCTTTCCCACAGTCAATACATTCATACGGTTTCTCTCCTGTGTGGGTTCTCTCATGCTGAGTAAGTGAAGAGCGTCGACTAAAGGCTTCTCCACACTCGTTACATTCATAGGGTTTTTCTCCAGTATGGATTCTGTGATGTTCTATGAAACTTGTACTCCTTTTGAAAGCTTTCCCACAAACATTGCAATGATAGGGTTTCTCTCCTGGATGAGAACTAGGTGGCTGATTAAAGGCCTGGTCACAACCATAAGATTTCTCTCCAGTATGGATTCTTTGATGGTCAGTAAAGTCTGTGATGCGACTGAAATCTTCCCCACAGTCATTACAATGATATGGTTTCACGTCATTGAGAGTGCTTTCATCTGGAGTAAGAGGTGAGCTGAGCTTGAAATCTATGTTGTAGTCATTGCTTTGGTAAGGTTTGCCTCTCTTATGAATCCTCATATGTTTATACAGCGATGGGCTTTGACCAAAGGCCCTCCCACATATACTACATTCAAAAGGTTTCTCTCCAGTGTGAGTCCTCTCATGCTGGACAAGGGAAGAACAGCGACTAAAGGCTTTCCCACATTCCTTACACTGGAAAGGTTTCTCTCCACTATGGGTAACTTCATGCTGTGTGAGAGATGTGCCATGCCTAAAGGACCTCCCACACAAATTACATCGATAAGGTTTCTCTCCAGTGTGGATTCTCTGGTGTTGAACAAGGGAGGAGCTGCGCTGGAAGGCTTTTCCACAGAGACTACACCGGTAGGGTTTCTCTCCAGTATGAGCATTCTCATGTTGACCGAGGGATGAGCTATGCCTGAAGGCCTTTCCACATACATTACATTCAAATGGTTTCTCCCCAGTGTGAATTCTCTGGTGCTCAGTAAGCTGTGTCTTCCAGAGAAAGGTTTTCCCACAGTCACTACATTCATGGTGTTTTTTCCCAGGATAGATTCCTTGATCTGTACCATTGGGGAAAGCAGCTTCTCCTTTATGGGTTTTCTCATGTTTAGTAAGTGATGATCTATGAATAAAGGCTTTTCTGCATTTATTACATTTATAGGGTTTCTTCTTCATAAGGATATTATTCTGATTAAGTAAGTCTGAATTATGTTCCAAGTTGCTTCCAAGAGTATTACATTCACTAGGTCTTATTCCTGAAGAAATGTTCAGTTGGTTAACCAGGTCTGTGCTCAATACAGAGTTTACACATTTATTCTGTTCAAAACTTTGCTCTGGTGTGATTATTTTCCTCTGGATATATGCTTCTGGCCCCATATGAATCTTCCAGCTTTCTATCTGGCTCCTAACATTCCAGACGTCTTCTAGTGTGGCATATGGATCATCTGTGCCACTGGAGACTTCAGTGATGGCCTGCTGCAGATATGAAGACTTCGCCTCAGGCCTGGCCTCCCAGTCTGAAAGAAATCAAAGTGCAAAAGTTCCTATTCCCACCATTTCAAACAAACAAATACAGCAGGAAAAAGTTAATGAAAAAGATTATATAAATGATACATGTCTTGGTTTAGAAAGTAGTCCTACAGCCTGTGAAGAAGACCCAAGGTAAAAAACATGGAAAGGGAAGAGTGATAGTCAAGAGTGCAGATCCAGGGTATATGGGAAAGTACAGAAAACAAGAAAAACCCATTTTTAAGGGCTGGTTAGAAAATAAGGGAACACATGATTTTGACAGTGTCAAGTATAGACACAAATGGTATAGGAGCTGAGTCTGACTTGCAGGATTCTCTCTACTCTTCACATTTAATGTCCATTTTATACATCACTACAAAATCTAATTTTATTTCCTAATTTCTTTAAAGTTCCTGGTCTTCAAAATCCTGCAAAGAAAGTATGTAGCCAGTAATCTAAGTAATCTATGAGAGGATGCTTTGGAATACCTACACACTGAGAGATCTACATCACAAGGTAAGAGAAGCAGTATTTAGGAGGCAGATTAACTTTGCCCTTACACCTGCAATATGGTTTAAGCCTGCATGAATTCTGGTTCTACATTTTACTCACTTATCTTTTTTTTCTTCCTCAAGAGCAAGAGCAAATCATTCATTACTTCACAGTAGGGAAGGTATGTGTTACGGATCTCTGGATGTAAAGAGATACACAAAAATCTCCAGACTTGCAATACTTGCTGCAGGTTAATTTTAAAGCATGTACCCTGAAGAGTAAAAAATGCAGCCAAGTACGGTGTGCTGGTTTGGAACATTCCACAAAAGGCAACTTTCTTCCACAAAGGAGTCATCCCCTCCTAGGTGAGCCTGGGTTTCTGCCCAGGACTACTGTGAGGAGAGAGGGCTGGCCTCTGCAGGAGTGTCCTCAGACGCCCAGCTCTGCTGCAGTTCCTGGACTGAGCCTTCATGTAACCCTTCTTAAACCCATTCACATCACCAGTCTCTAACACCTTAGTGCTTTCAGTTAGAAAAGGTCACAACTTCACACAGTACTTTCACTCTGTTGTTCCTGTTATTTATTCCTGGCCTCAAGTGATATTTTCTAGTATTTGTACTCACTTCTCCTGACCAGAAAATGATTTATGTCAATCTAATGAAAACTGAATTATAAACCTGTTCCTCTTAGAATACTGGTAGTAGAGAATTCATTCAAAGTTCTAAAATTGGCAACCTTAAAAACCTAGAAAAGGTGCAATCCCAGAGGTACATGGCTCGAATCCACCAGATGTTCTGCTGGAGAAGGAGGGGCAATTTCCTCCTGTACCAGTCAGATACATTTTGATGGTATATACACTAAAAATAAAATTTAACAACGCTAAAGGTAGAAACTCTCAGGAACAATGAAATTATTTTATTTCAATAGGGTTTTGGATTAGATGAAAAAATGCATTTATCAAAACAACTAGATGATACACATATTTCATTAATATATGTAACTTTTCTTTTTTTTCTAAGTGTGTGTGTGTGTGTGTGTGTGTGTGTGTACACCATCAAATCAGATCTGACTGGTACAGGAGGAGATTGTCCCTCCTTTTCCAGAAGAGCATCTGGTGGATTCAAACTGTGTACCTCTGGGATTGCAGTGCAGCTTCTTGCCACTAGGCCACCAGAGCTCCCTGTAACTTTTCTTTAAAAGAGAAAAAAGAACCATAAAAAAAATACTGGACTTTCATTAATAATAATAATGTATACTGAAGTATTTAGGAATAAATTATAATCCTCTGCAATTTAGTTGGAAATGCATTAAAAAGGTGTGTTGACAAATGGTGAATGCAAGTTATCTTATTTAAATTATAGAACCTATAATTAAACAATCTAATTATAAAATACCACCCAAAATGTTGAGAAAGAAAAACCTAAGTGATCACAAATTCCAAAATTCTTTACTCTGGATCTAGATTTCATTCTAAAATACAGAGGACAAGGAATGCTTTGGCTATTTTTCTCCCCTCTCCTAAATCTTTCTCAACAGGAAATTCAAGAAATGCCTGACAGAATACATGAATGAAAGGTTCTCAGTCTAATGTCATAATAGCTAGTCAAGCAAAATCTGACTGCCTTATGCAACACGGATAAAAGATAGACTTTTATGATAAGGTAAGACTTTTCCTTTGGGAGCTTGAATTTTAAGAATAGAAATAAGATTTCATTTTCAACAACCAAAAAACTAAACCCACTCAATAGTTTATTATGAAATCTTGAGTATGTACAATAGAGATATGAATGGTATGGGTGATTTTTGACCACAAGTGTGTTATGTGCATATATAATATACCTTAACTCTTAGAATAGATGGTTTTGAGTAGACATATAGCATTACATAATCAGTAAAGTGTATGCTACTTAATGAAGAACATCAAATTAAAACTTGTTTTGTAGTTCTGTTCTGTGCTGAGTTGGAACTGACTCACAGCTGACCTTCCAGTGATTTTCAGAGGTAGTAAATCACATGGGAGGGGACAGCCTATTTTTCTCCCAAGGAGCAGTTGGTGAATTTGAACTGTGTACCTTTGGCATTGCAGAGCAGCTTCTTAACACTAGGCCACCAGAGCCCTCTAAAACTTGTTTTAGCAGGAATTAAAAAAAAAAATGCTGGAGGGTATAACAAAAAAAACCCCAAACCTCTTGCCACAAAGTCAATTCTGACTCACTGCAATCCTCCGCTGCATTTCTGAAGTTGTAAAGTTTAATGGGAGGAGACTACCTGCCTATCTCCCATGGAACAGCTGGTGGATCTGCATCACCAGAGAAACATGGCCTTTTGGTGAGTAGCACAACACACTATGAACTACAGCACCAGTGCTCACACGATGACAGAGGACTTTTAAATCTATTTCCCATAATGAGGTAGAGGGAACAAAGTTTTATCAGAGGTTCAGTGGTTTTTGAAGATGAAGCGTTATAATCCAACATGATCTATCAAATGATGAATACAAACAAAATGTGGCAGTTATATAATGGAGTATTATTCCTCCATTAAGAAAAGGAATGAAGTACTGATAAACTCTTTATCATAGATGAACCTTGAAATGATGGGTGAAATAAGCCAGGCACCAAATGTGTGATTCTAATTATATAAAATGCCTAGAAAAGGCAATACACAGAGTTTGGGATTTTTAAAGTATATTAAGGGTTGCCAGGGGCTATGGAGTAACTGCTAATGAGTCTGGGGTTTCTTTGTGGAATGATTAAAACTGTATTTCAATAAAGGTGTTATCAAAAGGGGGAGAAAGAAAAATCCAAAGTAGATTATAAAAAGAAAAGTTAGAATGAGCAATTCTGACTGAGAAGTATGGTATTTAAATTTAATTTAGGATGTTACCAATGAAAGTTGAAAGGTTGAAAAAATCCAAGCTATTTCTCAAGGGAGAAAAAAAAAACCTGGAGACTCCATCAGAAGAAAAGGCTGAAAGAAAAGGAAGACTAACTGATATGGAATCTGGCCTAAGGACTTAGAAACTCAGGGGGTCTTTAACAGTTAATGAGCCAGAGAGCAGGCAAAGTATGAGAGAGAATGAATTTTTGTTTTCATATATTCAATATGAGCTCAATGTGACTTCCACGTAAAGACAACTTGTAAGAAAAAAAAGTGGAACCAGAGTACAATTAAGAAAGATTTCTGAGTCTACAGTACAGGATAAAGAGCTAAAACCAGCAGACTAGAAGTACTTTTACAGGGATATAATGCAGCGAGAAAGGGGAGATGGCTGGATATCCCTTAAGACAAATTCCTTTAAGAAAAAAGACAAGATAAACCAAAGACCTAACCTCCAAGAAGCTTTAAGTAATTGAGGAGATAAAGTAAGGATACTATCCCAGGGATCATGGAGAGAGACAATGAATCAAATGAGCACAAAGATGGGATGGAAGAAGAAACATTGGCTAGCTCCCTGACAGACGTTTTAGCCATTTAAGGAAAGATGTCTGAAGATGGATTATAAAATGGAGTAACAGTGAAGGCCATAGGTGCTCTCTTACAAGTCTGAAGCATGGGTAGGAGGGGAGACCAATTAATATCTGAATAAGAAAGGAATCTCAAAATAAAGAGAGGCTGATAGGGTAGACAGATGGTATTCAGAAGGCAGGATAAGTAGTTGTTTCTACAAAGTACTACAGAGTACCCTTTTCTGTAAGTCCCATTAAAAGCACGAATACCTTGTGGTAGGAGACTTATGAAGGTATCAACCACCATTCCTCACAGCAAACAGCTTTAGCTCCCTCTGTAGGTTTCAGAGCTCTCAAGCCAGCAATTCAATGGTGTGAGTCCCCCTCCCTGTGTTGTCCCATCATTTGCACTGATTCCTACATGCTTGCTTCTCACTTATTTACCTGAACAGAAAGGTCTTTGGTTTTCTCCCTCTGATATCCATGGCTCTTCTCCCTGCTCCAATTTGAAGATCACTTCTGGCTTGGAAACTTGATATCCTGCTCATGGGTAAACATATAAGCTTAGCTTGTTTGGGCAAGTGGACAAAGAACCCTCCTACAAGTCAGTACTAGTCCTTGATCTGCAGGAACTCTGAAGGGGAAAAAAAAAGGTGCAACTTAGGAAACTATGCAAGCAAATGGACTATTTCCAGTTCTACAAAATTAAAACCTTTAACCTTAAAGGCAGAGATGAACAAATTCTGGTCCCTGAATACTATTACCTACGCTACTGAGCACCACAATCATAGCAACTATGAAAGACCCATAACAGGCAAGGCAGGGAGGGGACACATTCTTACCAAGAGAAACCAGGTGATTATAGTTCTCCAGCATCACATCCCTGTACAAGGTCCTTTGAGCAGGGTCCACGTGGTGCCACTCTTCCTTGGTGAAGTTCACAGCCACATCTCTGAATGTCACTGATTCCTGTAGAATCACATTCCTGCTCAACAGGAGATCAAGCCCACAAGCATTTCCATAACAACACTTGGAACATACCTGAGAAGCTGATTATCATATACAAGCATTGAGTACACATTTGGCATTTTGAGTCGACAGGACTGGGCTACAAATACCAGCTGTTTAATTATAATTTTACAGTTCTATATAAGCAGTTAACACCGGCAATCTGGCTTATTAACCTACGTCCCACTTAACAATCTTCTTTCCTTCTTTTTTTTCTTTTTTATTATTTTTTGTTTGTATACGGTCAAATCGGATCTGACTGGTACAGGAGGAGATTGTCCCTCCTCTAGTAGAGCATCTGGTGGATTTGAACCGCTCGCCTCTGGGACTGCAGTGCAGCTTCCTGCCTCTAAGCCACCAGAACTTGCCTCTTCTTTTCCTTTTTGCAGAGCTAAGAGTCTACATAAATCTCTCTGTCCATTCACTTCCTTTGTGAAGTTTTTGGGTTGTTGGTTTTTTTTTTAATTTTATTTTATTATTTTTGTGTGAGTGTACCGTCAAATCAGATCTGACTGGTACAGGAGGAGATTGTCCCTCCTTCCCCGGCAGATCATCTGGTGGATTTGAACTGTGCGCCTCTGGGATTGTAGTTGCAGCTCCTTACCACTAGGCCACCAGAGCTCCCCTTGGGGTTTTTTTTTAATGGGGGATTGCACAAAATCCAAATGAGTTGGAGTGAATATGGATACCTTCTTGATTCGCATCTCCAGAAAGAATCACTGTTAATAGTTTGGCATATATAGAGTACCTTTTTCAAGTTTTACACACCTATACATTCATTTAGTAAAGTATCATACACCTTGTTTCTCAATTTTTTTTTCTTCAAACACTTAGCTTTAATGTTCTACACTAGCTATGTAAGTTCACCTTATTCCACTGAACTGCTGCTGTTTCTTGTTGTTCAGTGTCCTGGAGTCAAGCAACCCTATGAACAACAGATCCAAACTCTGTTCTATCCTGTGCCAATCCCACGACCTCTGGTACACTAGAGCCCGTTGCTGCAGTCACTTCTGTCAATCCTCCTTCACTGTTTCTACACCTTTCCAAGCACAATGTCCTGCTCTAAGTAACAGCCTCTCCTAGCAACATGCTCACCAAACTCAAACCCGTAACTGTCCAGTTATTTCTGACTCATAGTGATTGTACAGGACACAGCAGAATAGCCTCATGGGACTTCCCAGGCTGTAATCTTTACAGGAGACTGCTACCTGCTTTTCCTGAGGAACTGCTGGTAGCCAGAGCCCCATTTAAACTTACTATCATCGAGTAGGTTCCACTTATGACAACCTTCCACTGGATTTACAAGTCTGTAGATATTAATGGAAGGTGACTAATACTCTCTTCTGTGAAGCCACTGGTGGATTTGAACCACCAATCTTTAGGTCAGCAGCATGATACCACCAGGTCTCATTTAGTACTTCACAGCATAGTTATATCACAAGACAAGCACTGCTTACAACCAAAAGCAACCCACTGTACTTAAGAGTAAAATCCAAACTTCCCCACCACTAATCTCTAGCCATGCTGACTATACGTACTCTCCTTAAGTACCTCAAGCTTGTCCCCAGCCTTTGTGCCTGCCATTCTACCACACTTGACAACCTGTTAAGTAACATCGCAAATCTTCTTTCTTCAAAAAGGTTGTCTTAGTACCTCTCTAATTTATTCTCCATATTATGTTTCATTTTTCTCACTGCCCAAATTCTGTAAGTTCCCTGTAGAGACTATCTGTCTGATCAGTTCTATGCCAACATCTAGAAAAAAATTTCAATGCAGAGTAGATGCTAAAAAAAAAGCTTGAAGACTAAATAAATGGACCAATTGAAAATGGAATTGTTTCCAGTATTTTTCTGTAACCAACATTATTGAAATCAACATTCTTCATAAAAGTGCATTCCCCTTCTCCAGGATGGGGAACTACAATTGAAATTGCTAGGTCAAAGTTCTTTTCCCATTTCTTACCCTACTCCAACTGTACTTCTTCCCTTACCCCACTAAGACTAGGCTGGCTATGGTTCTCAAGGCCTCTCAACAGTCCTGATGGCTGTGGGCTAATCTTTGCCTTGGCTTATTTGACTTTGTTAAGCCATAAAACACCTGTGACAAAGCCCTTTTTTTAAATAGCGCCTTTGGTCCTGGACAGACTTCTATTTCAGGAAGTGTATAATGAAGTGTGGTTAAGGACAGTGTGAAAAGACAGCAAAGGTGAGTTAGCTGCAGTGGTGAGGGAAGAAATGCCATGCCCTTTCCCTCTGCTTAGCATGGAACTGAATTCTTTTCCGTTTATTTGAGGGTATCATCGCTCCCTCCTTTCTGCCAGACTTTCCTCTAGATAATTCCATTTTACACTTGAGAGATTAGCAGGTCTTCACTGAAGTCTTCTGATCCCCTATAGAAGGGTCAATCCTTCTATAATGTGCTTTAAACCATTTTGCACACCCACAGACATTCAAATAAACCTAATGGTTCACTTAATACTTATATTCCTGGCTAGAATCTAAGTAAGCATTACGAGGGCAGATATTATATATATTTAAAACTGAAACACTTGTGCTCATCAAGTGCATGACCCACAACAAATACTGATTTACTGACTGAGGAGACATACGTGATTTGAATTTGAAAGATGATGGCCCTATCCCCTAGTAAATGAGGAGCATGACCACTTCCATACAGAACACTGGCTCCTCCATACCAGTCTTGCTCCACACTGAAGCTATGTCACTAGAGAAGCAGGAAAATGTCAAAATCTGTGGGAATCAGGAATCTGACTGCACCAGGTAAGGTGACACTAGGTATCTACTAAATAGCTCATTTCACTATATTCACTATGACAGAATAAAAATGCAAAGGAGAAACACTGCAGTCCTTGAGTACACTTCAGTTTATTTTAAAACAGGTCATTTATTAGAGAGCAATTTGAGACCACACATTGGAAAGTGAGGCACTATCAGTGTTTTGAGGAAGAAAAACTGAGAGGAGAGAGGGAGGTGGCCTAGTGAGTAAGGAGATGTGCTGCCAAACCAAAGGCAAGCAGTTCGAATCCACCAGCTCTGCTCCTTAGGAGAAAGGTGGTTAATCTCTTCTCCTAAGATTTATAGCCTCTAAAAACCCACAGAAGGATCAGCTATGAGTTAGTTCTGACTCTATGACATCCAACAACAATAACAACCACCATTTAGGTCGGAGAAACAAAGATGGGAAATCAATCCAGAGAAAAAGAATGAGGCTGGACCTGGGATGGGGATTGCAAGCAAAAGGGTGGGACCCCAGTGTAGACATTTTAAGTTGGACTGGGAAAACTAACACCCTCTCTTCATCCTCTCCCCTACACATACAACTCCTTCAGCTTAATAACAGCGACAGTGATCTGCAGCTATGGTGAGGTAGTCCATGGGAAAGTGCTCTGTGAGCGCCTCTCTGGCAGTCTGAATTTACTAACAGCTCCTCAAGAGAAAGACAAGTAATTTCCCCAAGTGGCTTTCAACTTGACAGAACTGAGTTTGTGTCTGAATGAGTAATCAGCAAATTTCTTGGTTCTGTTCCCCATATTTAACAGATGTCCTCCTGATTTTATTCTGCTTCCCCAAACAGATTTCACTATAGGTATAGAGTGTGCTAAGAAGCAAACATCTACTTCAAGTCAATCACCATTTTTTATTTTGGCTGGCTTCTCCTCCTTCATTCTTGTTCTCAATAATCCTTTCCCCACTATGCCATATATCATCACAAATAAAGGCACTGGTTTGAATCCACTGGCTGCTCTGCTGGAGAAAAACGGGCAATTTCTTCCCACGAGATTTACGGTCTCTGAAAACCCTCTGGAGGGTCAGCTATGAATTGGATCTGACTTTACAGTATACAACAGCAGCAATAATATACATCATCAGAGACTAAAAACCTCTAACACAAATTAGATCAAGCTTATAAACCTTTTTTTTACCCTCTCTAGCCCAAGTCACCATCTCCTAACTGGTCTCTCAGTTCTGTCCTATCCTCACTGGCACCTCCAAATCTGTATTTCACGTACTATCACAATGGTCTCAAAACCTGTCAGATGAAATCTTTCAGGTAAAATCTTCCAGTGGTGTCTCAATTCATTTTGGGTCAAGGTCAAAGTCTCTACAGAGGCCTACACAGCCCTTCTCGCCTCTGGCCTCCCCGACTTCATTTCAAACCTCAGCACCTACTGCTCTCTCCTTCATTCATTCTGCCCTTCTTCTAACACAGCAGAGACTACTCAAAGGCCAGGCATCCTGCCAGTCTTGGACTCCTGGGGTCTGGCCTCAGAAAAGGGCCAACAAGGGCTAAGATAGAGTGCACACTCTATAGTAACTGCTTCTGTTGCCTCAGGGGGTATGTCCATCTCTGTGTTGTCTGTGTCCATATGCTTCTGCTCATGGCCTTTGCTCTGTCCTCTTGACTAGGAAACCTCTTCCTGCAGATGTACACATGGTTTCCCTCACTTTCTTCAGCTTTGTCAAATGTCATTTCATCAAAGCAAATTTCTTTGACTACTTTAGATATCGGGGAAAAGGATGGGCAATCTCCTGCCATGTGATTGATTTAACTGCCTCTGAAAACCCACTGGAGGGTCAGCTCTGAGTAAGTTATGACTCGACTGCACACCAACAAGAACTTTACATATAATAACAGCATATCCTTTTGTCACTCTGCCTTTTTTGTTCTTCAGAGACCACAACTTGACATATTTTTATTTATAGTCTATATACTACACCAGAATATATACTCCAGGAGAACAGTGATACTGTCTACTTTATTGTTGAATCTCCATAGCCTAGAACAGGCCAAGCATAGAGTAGGTGCTCCAAAATACTTAATATTTGTGATTTGATAAAACTTTAACCTGCTTTAAAAAAATTCCTAATAAGGAACTTAAAACTAAGTATGTAACTTGTATTATATTTCTTTTTTCAGCACCGTTCTAGGTTGGGAGACAGCAGATTTTCCACCCTAGGCCTACAGAATTCTTTCTCTCAAATTTTGCCTTCAGCCATCACTGTAAAGGACACTGCTTCTACCTTATGGACCTTTGCCATTCATTCTCCATTCATATTATTTCCTTTCATGTCTAATTGTTTTTGTGTATTCAAACCACTCCTTCATAGTCTAGGAATGACAAAGAAAATTTAATCAGAAAGGATCTGAATTTGTAAAATGTGGTTAAACTGAGACAGTAACTGGAATGGAAAAATTACCAGTGGATGCCCTGCTAGAAACGTAATCTCCTTAGGAAACAAGGACAGTGCACATATTTCACAGCAAACAAATATTCTGACTCGCACAGTCAGAAGTTAACAGTGGACCATTCAAAGATGGCAGCCAAGAGCATGCTGTGAGTGTGTGTCACCCTCTACAGATCTGGCAATAATCCAAGGACCCACTCAGGCTCCTCAAAGGACTCATTACATCTTATCCGAATCTTCCATTCTAACACTTCAGACTCCTAATTTTCCCCACTCCATTTGTTCTACTTTACCCAAATATTAAAAATTTGGGTCTATTCTGATATTCTTTTGTCAGACATTATTGAGCTGATTCAAAGTCTTGTTTTGTACCATAATGCTCAAACTCTACTCTGACCACAACGTACTTTCTTTTCTCAGCCCTGTAAGAAAAATTCCTGGTTATTTTCTAGTAGTTCAATAGTTCCTTCATTTCTAAGGTTTATTCCCAGATCCTCCATCTTTCTATTCTATTCCTTCAGCATTTGGTCTATGCTGCTATTCCACAGTGGTCATCACATAATTATACATAGCTTCCTCTCATCAATTTCTCAAACTCGTGCGTACTGAGATCTTCTCCTGCTGAGTATTCTCTACACCAACATGTTGTGAATGCCTAGAATCACCTGGGTAACATTTCTAAATTACTCATGAAGGGCCTTGTCAGGTATCGTTTAAAATCTCTTTGAGTAGTTAACTATAAGAGGACACTCACTGCAGCCTGGACACCTGTCATCTGTATGCTCTGACTCGAGACATTTTCGTACAGAAAACTTTAATCACATGCACACTCTCCCCATAGGAAACACTTCTGACTGGTTCTTAAGCATGGCCCTTCAAGAACTACTGCCTGATACAGAGCATGTCTGCTGAGTGATGTATGTCTACTGAGGGAATACATACAGAATACACAGGTAGTTCTGAATGAAGGAGGTTAATGTTCTAGGGACAGCTTATGTGGGTTCTGGTGACCTTCCGGTAGGCAGGTTTGACTGAATATGTGCATCCTAGTGACCTTAGAGCTCTTGGGAACTGGGGTCAACAGAAACCAGATCAGCGATAGGGCCCATTGCCTCCTCGTCAAAGCAGAACATCAGAAAACATGAACTTCATATGAACTTTCTTCTTGTCAAACTTCCTCTTATCTTTTTAAAAAATGAAGTAGAATTCATATAACATAAGAGTAATCACTAACAGTGAACAGTTCAGTGACACTCGAGATTCACAAAGGTTGAGCTACGGGTACTTCTCTCTAGTTAAAAAATACTTTCATCATCCTTTCCCTCAATCCCTTCTGTTCTAGTTCATTCAAATCTTTTCAAGATCCTTTTATTTTCCTAACTAAAAATGCAGCATAAACATATTGAAAAGAATTTTATAAACATATTGAAAAGATTAACAATTTCCATTCCCATCCCACTGCTGCTGGGGCCACTACAGGTCTTTGCTAGCCAAGCCCAGGCGAGAAGATTCTCATCCATTAAAATGACTCTCCAAAGACACTCCCATTTCCAATCCTGCTCCTGCAATCCATTATTCACAATAACTTTCTATTTTTTCCCCCTTGTTATGTACCGTCAAATCAGATCCGACTGGCACAGGAGGAGATTGCTCCTCCTTCTCTAGCGGAGCATCTGGTGGATTTGAACCACACACCTTTGGAATTGCAGCGTAGCTTCTTGCCTGTAGGCCACCAGAGCTCCCTTCACAGTAATCTTTAAAACTAAGCAGCATACAATTTCCCAGCTCAAAAACATCAGCCTGCATTAAAATGGCACGCTCACTGCTCCACAAACACTGATACACACACTCAGCCTTAGGGCCTTAGTTCTATATGAATTGTCCTGACCATTTATTTAAAAATTAAAAATGTAGCCCTATCAAGGTTTCCTTTCTCCCCATTCAGTCTCCTTCATCCTTATTTACCTTGAATCTTTTTCTTGAGGTACAATTACCCTCTAGAATACTGTAGCGTTTGTCTTTATTGAATTCTTCTAGAATCCAGCTCAATGAGAGTATACATCTTTATGAATTTGTTCACTAATGGGAGTTGCCGGGTGGAACAAAGGTTTTATATGCGCAGCTACTAGTCCAAAGGTTGGAAGGACAAAGTCCCAAAGGTAGGTTTAGCAACCTATCTCTAGAGGAGCAGACGGTGGATTTGAACTGCCCACCTTTGGGTTGACAGCACAACTTTCTACTCACTGGGCCACCAGAGCTGCCTGCTTAGCAATCACCTATCAAGTTCTTATCCATAGTAATAATCTTCACCAAACCCTTCCCACAAACCCTTTTTATATTCAGAGTAGCCAACAGTTTCTGAAACAACATTTAAACACCTCTCTTCCTTGTGCTATATTCTTTCCCCCATTAAATGAACTTCCTGGACAAGCAGTCCTGTGACTCATCTTTTGCCTTTTCCTGAGGGCCACACTCAAGAGAAGGAAAATCGCGGACAAAATAAAATTCTGCTTAGAAATCTCCTTTGAAGGGCTAAGGTTTTGCTCTGTTCATTAACTACTTATCTCTTCAGTGCCCATGCCTGCTCATCACCTACAGTCTGAGTTTGGTAACCCAAGAGGACTGTTATTTTATTGCAGAACAGGACTAAAGCAGAGTGCTTACAGAACACAACTTTAAATGCAAAATTTAACATGCTCCCTCAATTTCACTGCACACAACACAGATCCATTTTCAGTTTTTGGGGAGACCATGGAACCCACACTGAATGGACTTCAAGCTCAGCAACATTAAGAATACAATCTCTCCTGCGGGAAGGATCATCACTGCTCATACATAGGACGTCAATCATGCTAACTTCCTGAGCATAGCAGAACAGTAGTAAAGTTGGGATTCCAAATGCTCTGATGCTAACCCCAAAATGAAGCCTCTTTGGTGATGTGAACCCATTAGCCACTCTACAGGAGAAATACGAGGCAGTCTTCTTTTGTATAGAGTCTCTCTCTCTCTCGTTGTCGTAGAGTCGGAACTGACTACAGCTGACTCTCCAGCAGGTTTTTCAGAGACTGTAAATCACACAGGAGGGGAGTGCCCATCTTTCTTCCGAGGAGCCACTGTTGGATTCAAATCACCTGAGGCACCACCTTCGAGTTAGCAACACAATTCCTCAAAGACTACGCCCCTGGAGCTCCCTCTGTAAAGAATTCAGACTTGGAAACCCTATGGGGCAGTTCTACTCTACCCACAGGGTAAACGGGAGTCAGAATCAACTTGGTGACTATAAAGTTTTTAACTGAGAAAAAAAAGTGATGATTTGCTCTGCTTCTTCTTAAATCACTTTGTTTAGTTCTCTAGTGTTGTACTTGTCTTCCTCCTTAAGGTTCACCTCTATGAAACAAAACATGTGAGGCATTATATGTGTGTGACGTTTTCTGTAAACATCGTTAAAAAGAAATTATTAGTCAGTACATTTACTGATGGTGTTTGATTGTTTCACACATCTAAGAACTAGAATATACATTTCCCACTTAATTCTAACAAATGCAACAATTAATTCATTGCTGCCCAGTTAAGAACTGACTCATAGCTGACCCTTCAATGGGTTTTCAAAGGCTGCAAACTGCATGGGCGTAAAGTGTCCATCTTTCTCCTAAGGAACAGCTGATGGATTCAAACTACTTGCTTTTGGATTTTGAGTAAGCTACCTATCCGCTAGGCTACAGGGCTCCCTCTTAATTCTATGGAGGGGGGTAAATTAAAATACCTGTTATGTTCACTGATATACTATGTACATCCAATAGACAATCTCACACCCCTCACCTCCTCAATGAGTGACTATGTATGTGCATAAATCATCCTCAAACTTTTAGTGGAGAGTGGAGTTCTGGAGGTGTATAGTCACACCTTCGTTAGAGCTAAAAAAAGAGCATGAAAAGCTACGGACAAGTCATACCTGTTGGGTTTTTTTTGTTTGTTTTTTTGGTTTTTTTTTACCTTCCTGCCCATGAAAGCCCAACCAGGCCTCTTTGGCTCTTTAAAGTCTCTCTCTGGCCCCCAAGTCTGAAAGTAGGGCTCCGTTCTCCTTCAGTCACCGCTTTCCCAGTAACTTCCTCCAGTTTTCAACGTCTTCATCATTCCTTACTGACACAGTTCAAAGAGTTGGCTTGGCACTAAACTGGGTGACTTCCCAGCACAACCTTAACTCCTCTCGCGACCACACCGCTCTCATCCCCTTCAGCACACGCTTTACTGCCCCCCCACCTGGCCCCCAGCTTTGGGCATTTGGGGATTTCATGAAGCTGGGAGGGGTCCAGCCAAACAGTCTCTAGGAACCCAGATTAGGAACACACTGCTCACCTGGACCGCGGCTTTTGGAGGCCTCGGGGTCATCGCTGTCTCGTGAGGGCAGCGCTTCAGAAGAGGGGACTGGGGAGAAAGGAGAAGACTATTCACCGGTCTGCGACCACCGCCCCCAAGTCGCCTAGTGCCCCCTGACCCGCCTCAAGTCTTAGCGTTTGTCTCAAGGAGATGGACAAACTGCGCTCCGGTCTGTTGCTTCCGCTCCTCGAAATCACGTCCTCCTGGACGCACCTCAGACACTCCTTCACACCCCGCCCGACCCCGGTCACGCCCTTGTCACCCCGGCAGGACGGAGGGCGCGGCCCCGTGGACACCCGCCAACCGTATTAGACAGCACCCCGGCCCACGCACTCGGGATCAGTGCCTCCGGGGAAGCTGGGATTTCGCGACCTCTGGTCCACCCAGGGGCGGGGGCCAGTTTCTCGGTCCCCAGCTCCAGGGTAAACCCTCCCGGGGTCTGCTCAGCACGGGGCGTCCTAAAGGGGCCTCAGCAGCACCAGGGATGGACAATGGCTGCAGCGGCGGCGCGCAGCCCGGAAGTGCGCCTGCGCACAGAGACTCGCCAACTACGCTTCCCAGAAGTCCCAGCGCGTCCTCCCCCGAGAGGCGGCCCGGGAGTCCCAGCGCCTCCTGCTCCGGTCGTTCGTTCTACAAATGTCACCGAGTGCCTCGTCTGTGCCAAGGATAAGCTTCTTCCGTTCTTGGTGGGTACTATCGAATCAGAATCGACCCTTCAGATTTCCAGAGACAGTAGACCTCATCAGAGTGTCCTGCTTTGTCTGGTGAGGCAGCTGGTGGATTCGAACTGCTCAGCTTTGAGTTGGCAGCGCCACCAGCGGTGGTTACTGGTGGTGATCTGCGCTGCAACTTGGATTTAATTAACTTTGACGTCAGTGAGAGAGAAGGGGCGCAGTGGGTTAAGCGTTGATGTGCAGACTTTAAGATCTGTTGGATCCCAACAGCTCTGGCAGAGAAAGATGTAGCAGTGAGCTCTTGTAAAGATTAACACAGCCTCAGAAACGCTATGAGACAGTTCTTTTTTTGTCCCTTCAGGTCACTGTGAGTCAGACTGTGGCAGTGGAGGTTGTTGTTGCGAGGCACCACTGAGTCAAATATGACTCATAGCAACTCTATAAAAAACAGATCTAAAACCTGGACGGACTATCCCGTGCCATTCTCATCATCTCTGACATACTTGAGTTCACTGCTGCAGTCACTGTCTCAGTTCATCTCTTGAGGGTCTTCCTCTCTTTCACTGACCTTGTACTATATACCAAGCATGATGTGCCTTTCCAAGGAATACCCTCTTTTACCAACATGCCCCAGGTGTGTGAGACAAAGCTTCACCATCTTTACTTCTAAGGAGCACCTGAGAAGGTACAGGCTGCACCTTCCCCAGGACATATCTGCTTGTTCTTTGGCAGTCCATGGGATATTCTGTAGTGTTCTCCAACACCACAGCACAAAGGAATCAATTCTTCTGTCATCCTTATTCATGAGAAGCTCTCAGAAGCATAGCAAGTAATTGAAAAGGCCTTGGTCTGAATCAGGCACACCTTAGTCTTCAAAATGGCACCCTCAGTAACTTGGTGATGTCTTTGTTAGCAGACTTTCCCAATACAGTGTGTCTTTTGATTTCTTGACTGCTGGTGCCAAGAGTGTTTATGGATTCAAATAAGATGAAATTGTCAACAATTTCAGTCTTCTTTTCATCTATCATAATACTGCTTATCAACCAAGAGGTGAGGATTTTTGTCTTCTTGTTGAGATGCAATCCATATTGAAAACTGTCCACTTTCTTTGATCTTCTACAGCAAGCAAAGCTGTATCATCTGCATAGTATAGGTTGTGTTTGCTAACTTTGCTCTTCAAAGTGATATTATTTGTACCATTCATTTCAGGAAGTGGAATGAGCTGACTACAGCCTATGAACTCTGGCCACTCCAAGCCCCAAAATGATCAACCACACAGCAAACCCAGAGCATCAAAGCAGTTGCATGCCAGACCCCATTCTCTGTTGTGAGTATGGCAGAGCATATGGGCTTGCACGAGTCAGTAGACCTTGTGCCAAATCCCCTAAATAGCTTCATGTGCCTGACTTAGTTTCCTTCTGAGGCTAAGAAGCCAGATCTGACCTTCATCTCCTAAAGGTATTTTCTCTTTGTTTTTTTGTCCAATGCAAGCAAACAGGGGCAGTCCTGCCAATGATATCAACAAGAATACCTGAATTTCAACAGTAAGAATTCAAGATAAAAAAAAAAAAAGAATTCAAGATAATCACCTGAAATTGGTAAGATCTTAAAATGTCATTTACCTGTCCCCATTACGTTCAAGGGAACCTGATGAACGAGACTACTCTGGGTGACTTCATGACCCAAGCCCTGTCTCATTTGAAGCCCTGCCATATTTAGTTTGGGGACAATCTTCAGAAGTGGATCAGCAAACCAACAAATGCCTAAAGGCATCCACACTGAGAGAACAGCCTTCTTCCTATTGGTCCTCAGCTTTCTCCATCCATGGAGCTTTCTCCAGCCACAGCTCTGCCTCACATAGTTCTCTGGTTCGGTACCATCTCTGCTGCTGCCACCACCACTGGCAACACCTTGTCTTGTGCTGTCTCTCAATCTGGGACACTTTTTCTGGTGTCACAGCTCTTTATTTCTGGTTCACATAAGAATCTCTTAACCAAAGAGTCTCTCAGGTTCTTCTTTTCTTGGTGTAGAGATCCCTGTTTCCCCCTCTGCTGTGGTTGCATTTAAGTTTGCCTGGATGGCAAAACTGAGTAATCCCCACATTAGTATTCTCATTCTCAAGAAAAGCGATCCAACAGAATGTGTAAGTTATCAAATGGTATCATTAATATCACATGCAAGCAAAATCATACTGAAGATCATTCAAAACGTCTAGAACAGTACATAGACAGGGAACTGCCAGACTTTCAAGCCAGAGATAGAAGAGGCCATGGCACCAGGGATATCATTGTTGATGTCAGATGGATCCTGGCTGACAGCAAAGAATACCAGAAGAATGTTTATTCTTTATTGACTATGCAAAGGAATTTGACAGTGTGGATCATAACAACTTATGATTAACATTTAAAAGGATGAAAAATCCAGAACACTTAATTGTGCTTGTGCAAAACCTATACCAGGACCAAGAGGCACAAAGAATGGGAACACTGCATGGTTTAAAATTAAGAAAGGTATGCATCAGTTTTGTATTCTTTCTCCATATCTATTCAATCTGTATGCTGAGTAAAGTATTTAAGAAGCTGGACTCTACGGAGAATGATGAGGCATCAGGATTGGCGGAAGACTCATCAATAACCTTCATTACAAAGATAACACAACCTTGCTTGCTGTAAGTGAGGAGGATTTAAAGCATTTGCTGCAGAAGGTTAAAAACTACATCTCAACAGTAAGAAGATAAAAGTCCTCACCACTGTACCAATAAGGCAACGTCATGATGGATGTAGAAAGGACTGAGACTGTCCACAATCAATATTCTTGGTACCAGCAGTCAGGAGATCAGGAGAAGTATTACACTGGAAAAGTTTGTAGTCAGGGACCTCTCCAAATTATTGAGGAGTAATGATGTCAGTTTGAGAACAAAGGTGCTCTAGATTCAGGGTTATTGTCTGTTCAATCACCTGTTATGCATCTGAGAGCTGAACAATGACTAAGGTTGACAGAAGAGGAATTGATGCCTTTGACCTATGGTGTTGGAAGAAAAGTGCTGAATAACTCAAGGACTGCTAAAAGATCAAAGAGATATGTCTTGAAAAAGGTGAAGCCAGAATGCTCCTTGGAGACAAAGATGATGAGGCTTTGTCTCCCATACTTTGGGCATGTTGCCAGAGAGGTTAACCCTTAGAGAGTGACATCATGCTTGGGAAGGTGGAGGGGTGACGAAAAAGAGGAAGACCCTCAACCAGGTAGGTTGACAATGGGCTTGAGTGTGTCAGAGATTATGAGGATGGCACAGGCTAGGTAGGACATGGTTCAGATTGGTTGTTCATAGGGCCCTATTGACTCATACTCGACAGCAACTAACAACAGCAACAATAACAATAACCCAGCCATGTGGTGATAGAAGGAATAATGACATGGAAGAGTCACATTAAGTCACAGCGATACAAAAAGGCAAGGAAGGGAAGGGAAGTTAGATCAATGGAAACAGAACAAACAGGATGGAAAAATAATGACAATTACTAACACATTGTGGACATGACATGGAACAATTTGAATAAAAAATGTTAGAGAACCAGATTTTCTGTGTAAATTTTCATCCAAGAAACAATTAAATAATATTTAAAATTCTCACATCCCATTTGTTGGATTAACTGTGTTTGAATTCTTAGTTAAATGGATTTGCAAATATCCTTTTCCGGTTAGCTTCTGTGTATGGGCAACACCCTCCAACATTACAACCAGATACATGATCCTAAGGGACCTGGGCTAGATTGTCTGGATCCCAGTCAACTGTTTACCATGTGGACTTTTGTGCCAAAAGGGTCTTACTTTCATGTACACCCAGTGGATGTGTGTGGAGCTAATGGAGCTGAATTTCTTAAATGAAAGCTTTCCTTTATTATTACAAGTAACGGGGCTTACGAACATCTAGGGAAGCTTCTCCATTTTAGAAATGAAACAGAAGCTCAGAGACAGAAAGGCACTAATTGGAAAAGGAAGAAAATAATAAAGACTGAAAAGGATGCATGCAGTCCGCTGAAGGGAACCCTTAATTACTTTCTAAAGTAACTCAGCCCAGATCTGATGTTTAAAAGAATTTAAATGAAAACATTACAATAAAAATTTAGAATATACTGCTGTGCTGGTGTTTGATAGGTTGCTTTTTTTTTTTTCTTTCATCCTTTATCATTTTCTTTTTAGCTCTGCAGCTGTGTGGCCTCCAGCAAGGCTTTTGGTCTCTGGATTTCTATTTCATTTGTGAAGAATCCTGGTATAGTTAATACAAAACTCTGGCTTATTTTTCTACTGCAGCAGATACACAAAAAACCCAAACCTGCT